CCTCTTATTTGACTAGTTTTGCCTTTAGATCACAATTCAAATATCTCTTTTTCAGAGAACCCTTCCCTGATGACCTTAATTACAGCACCCCATCCACAGCTGGCAGTTCTTCTCTATCACATCACTTTATACTCTTTAGGTCGTTTCACATTCTCCAAAACATCGGGCTTATTTATGTTTATCTATGTATTCCTTTCCTCTCCTCATTTTACTCACTGGCCACTGCTCCCGTTACTAAAATACATGTTCGATGAGGTCACAGACTGTGCATCTTTCATCGACAGTTGTATCCACAGTGTTTAAAATATTGCCTGGTATATAGTAAGCTCTTGATGTTTATTTTATAAATAAATACATTTTTCCTAGGAGGATTGGGTGAAGGTGTTAAGTAGGAGATTACATTCTGAAGACTGAAGCTCCAGCTACAGAAATTTTCAAGAACAGAGAAAGTCCAGGTTTATATATTAACCTAGAATTACACATAAATAATTATTCACCCAATCCCCAAATCTGGCACAGAAACCCTTTGTTTTTCTGGTGAATATGCTACATATGTATAAAATATGTTCTGCATTAAATGTCTCATTATTTTACTTTCTCCTGATTGAAATGTAAACTATAACATCTACTCAAATAGGACTAAATTTTGAAGGAGTTTTGCCCATTTTACAAATACGACTCTTTTGCAGAGGAGTGAGCCTGTGGTGTTCCATTTCACCACTGAGTTGCTCTGTCTTATATTTCTGACTTCTCCATCCTTTCATCCCAGTCTTCGTATTTTTTTTTTTTTTCCTATCTATGCTCAGGCTGGCCAGTGACACCTATAGGCCATCACTGTCGGCAGCTCCCAAGGACTATGCCTTTGTTGCTGTTATTCAAGGAGGCCACACACTGCAATTGTACCTGCCAGGTCACCTAAGTTAAAGCTAAACAGAGGATAGAAGCAATTCTAGGCAATTCAAGTGAAATAAAGCATTTTAATATTGGGCAATTTTGCTTCTTTCACTGCTTTGTTCTGGCTGTGGGGACAGTTTGAACTGAGCTTCTGAGAGAGCCAAAGGTACCTTTGTGAAACTCCCAGCTGTTCTTCCATTTTCTCTTTTATGCCATCTGTGACTTGGAAAAAAACAAAGTTCCCTCGGTGTATGGTGGAGTGGGAATGATGATTATGTGAAAGTACTTATCGCACCAAGCTCTCCTCTACTTCTGACCTTACATTAAATGAAGTCAGGCAGTTTTATGATTATAGAAAAGTACTGTAGTACTCACTCCTAAGTATACTGGTATGCAAACATTGGGACATCTTTTCAATCTTTTACAAAGGGTGCTTTATGTTACTTTATTTCAAGTAACACTTACAAGGTACTTGTTGTTATTAAAACCCCATACTATGAATGAAAGATGAGTAATTGAATCTAGAAGGGATATGCAGGGCAAGTCTGTGTGTGTGTGTGTGAGAGAGAGAGAGAGAGAGAGAGAGAGACAGAGAGAGAGAGAGATACATACTATAATAAGAATATTTTAAGTGACATCTTAGAAGGAACTTAAAGATGGTCAAAATCTCAATATGGTGATATTGCAAAACAAGAACAGGCTTTAGGACTGCAGATTCATTGGTGGTCAGTCTTCAATGATCAGCTGAAGTAAAATAGGATAACCCTGTATTAGGAAAGTCATCGTCTTAAGGTAATAGTCTAGAGCTAAGAAAATTCAGCATATGTTTGGAAAATCAAATAGGTCAGTTTGGCTGCCATGTGTGGTATAAATGTGGGATTATGTGAAATGAAACTAGAAAAATAGAAATGAGAAATACTGTACAGCTCTTTAAATGACAAGCAAATGACTATCTTATAGGTAATGGGGGGATCCAGAAGCTTAGGCGTAGGTAGTAGACATGTTTGGAGGCACATTCTAAACAGATTAACTTAGTAAAATAGGCAGCATATCCTGGAAATGGAGCATCCAGAAAAGCCAGAGTGACACCAGATGGAATGTTTTCTTGGGTAATACCATGGAGCTGAATGAGGTATGTGAAGGAGAGTGGCTCAGGTGGAGCAATGGCCATTCGGAGGCCATGAATCCAGCCTCCTCATTTTTTCATATTTAGAATGGAAGGGGAATGATGGTGATATCCACAGAAATAGAGAATTTATAAGATGATGCTAATTTGAGGGTAAAATAATAGGTCCACAAAAATAAAGTCCCCTGGTAACTTCCTGGTGTCCCATTCTGTCCTGAAACACTCTGCTCAGTGAATAATTTAGAATAGACTTTGATCAGTCTTTATGATATGTCTTCGTGCCCCAGATTACAGGGCTAGTTAATACCTTAACTCAAATGGTAAATAGAATGAGAAAATTCCTTGGCTGGCAGTAGAATTCATTGCCTTTTATCCCTTTTCCGGAGGTCTTGGTATTAAGGAAGCTGGGTTTAATGAAAAGTGCACAGGCTTTAACCACAGCCTTGAGTTTGATTCCTGAGTGTTCCTCAGTTAGGGTGTGATCATGAGAAGATTTATAGAAATAATGATATAAACCAAAGCTCTTAGGAGGGTTCACAACATATTGTGTCTCCTTCATCACTATAGGCCTGACAGTTTACAGTTTTAAGTACCATTGCTTTTCAGTAAGGATTTTTTTTTTTTTTAAGATAGACTTCTATTTCATGTGGCGTGTTTTTTTTTTTCTCCTGAATTTTATCTCAAAAGGACACTTTCTTGAAATGTCAAGATGGTATTGCCATAAGACTGTCTTTCCATGAGCAGTCTTTTAGCTGATAATTAGTTTTCCACCAAAAGTTGACCATGTCAGAAAGCATTGCCTAATCCTTAAAAGAAATCAGAGCTAATACAAGTCAGACTGATGGTTCGATAAGACATTTACCAAAATGCCAAACCATTTCATCTTAGTTCCTATTCTTGGAATGTGGGGAGAATAAGTGTGTGGGAGGGTCTGGGATATAGTGCAAAGTTATGAAAGTATAGGCTGCTTCTACCGTATATGAACACTAGATTCCTAATTTAAGGAAGAAATTTAATTTAAGAAAGAAACGGACACATAGAGGCAGTCAGTTTAGAAGGGTGTGCAATAATGTGAATATTATTCAAGTACCTAGGATTGACTTGTCAACAAAAGAATAGTTTTGGCTGGGTGCAGTGGCTCATGCCTGTAATCCCAGCACTTTGTGAGGCCAAGGTGGGTGGATCACAAGGTCAGGAGATCGAGACCATCCTGGCCAACATGGTGAAACCCTGTCTCTACTACAAATACAAAAGTTAGCTGGGCATGGTGGCATGCACCTGTAGTCCCAGCTACTCAGTGGGCTGAGGCAGGAGAATCGCTTGAACCCAGGAGGCTGAGGTTGCAGTGGACCAACATCTTGCCATTGCACTCCAGTCTGGAGGCAGAGCGAGACTCCATCTGAAAAAGCAAACAAACAAACAGTTTTATGAGGGACCTGAGAGCTGTCCTAAATGCTTAAAGATCTAGCATATAGACCTTTAGGTCAGGTTCGCGTTGGCCCACATTGCGTCAAGGTGGCTGAGTACAACCATTTACTGGTTTGGCTGTAGAGGAAAGTTCCACATTTATTGGAAGGACTAAAGGAGCTCTAAGCTTTAGAGCTTAGAAAAGCTTATGAAACAGTAAAGCTGCTATAAATTGCTTAAGGAAATTGGGATATTTGTAACTTTAATTGTAGGAAAGAGCCAGTCCTTGAATCATCTTAATCTGTTAATGCTTCCATTTACCTTTAACTTCAACTAGAAAAGGGGTTTAGTGATGATGGTTTAACTTCAGAAGGTGATCATACTATTACCTACTGGTAGATTAATAAACACCAATATATCTATTTTAAGTTAATCAATTCACATTAACTTTACCTTCTCCTGTCTCATTAAATATAAATTAAATGCATAGTTCGGAAGCTTAACTGAAAACATTTTCCAGAGTTTACACAGAGCATGAATACAAAGAATTTCCTTGTGCTATGCCTACCATTATTCTCCTTTCTTCCTTCACTGTGTTTTTTTCAGGATTCTCAAAGGAGGAGGATCAAATTGATAGCAGTGGGTCCCTCCTGCTTTCCTCATAGACATGCACATTACCTACAGACAGAAAAGGAACGCTTTCTCAAAAATGTTGAGACTTCTTGATTTAAAGAATTGAAAAAAATACACAGGATTAGATTCACTGTTGACCTCCATGTTGAACACATTATTCAGTAGGTTTTAGAAACGTGCTGATGGAACAGGCGCTATAGACTAAATGTTGGTCCCCCATGCCAGTTAATGGCAGCTGGAGGCAGAGGAACTCCAATACTATAACGTTTAACAAAAAGCATTGGTGAGCAAAGCCCAGAATGAAAGACAATCAGACATACCTATTAAATGCATATTTTATCATTCCATGAAAAAAAAAAATCAAAGGCGTCATGGCACTGTCATGGCAACGATGCAATATTTCCATCTATAATCACTGCATGCAGATTTAGTAACATTGATTTCATTTCAACTATTTCTGGGGCTACAGTTCAGTGTATTTCTGCCTGGTTAGTTTGAAAATTGTTAATATAGTATAAATGGAAGTAAATTGAAGATGCAATATAGAGAATTGAACCGTAGCTTAAAACATGTTGCGCCTGAAAATAATAGGAGGGATAATGTTCAGGAAAGGGATGAACAGTCAACACATTTATTCAAATTATTTCTAAAGCTTGAAGTTTAAATGAGAGGTTCTGTTTTGGATATGGCATTTAGTGATCATAAATAAGTATAATCTGTTAGAAATTATTAGGATTCTAATTTTATACTAAGGACCCAGTGTCAGCCTAATAGTCAAATATTAACTTCTCTAAGATATACAAATATTTTCTTATAGGAAGAAATAATTTGGGGAAGCAGTCTCACATTGATTTCTCTGTACATCTTACACAGAATTTCCTTGTGCTATCCCTACCATTATTCTCCTTTCTTCTTTCACTGTTTTTTTTTTTTTTTTCAGGATTCCTAAAGGAAGAGGATCAAATTGATAGCAGTGGGTCCCTCCTTCTTTCCTCATAGACATGCACATTATCTACAGACAGAAAAGGAACCCTTTCTCAAAAATGTTGGACTTCTTGATTTAAAGAATTGAAAAAAAATACACAGGACCTCCCATGTTGAACACATTATTCAGTAGGTTTTAGAAACATGTGCTGATGGAACAGGTGCTATAGACTGAATGTTTGTCCCCATAAAATTCCTATGTTGAAACCTAACCCCCAGTGTGATGGAATTTGGAGGTGGGCTCTTTGGGAGGTGATTAGGTCGTGAGGGTGGCGCCCTCAAGGATGGAATCAATGCCCTTATGAAAGAGGCCTCAGAGAGTTCTCTGCATTTCCCCATGTAAGAACATACAGAGAAGATGGGCATGCATGAAGCAGAGAATGATTGGCCCTCACCAGATGCTGAATCTGCCAGTGCCCTGACCTGGGACTTTCCAGTTTCCAGAACTGTGAGTAATTAATTTCTATTGTTGATAAGCACCCAACTTACGGTACTTAGTTATTGTAGCCTGAATGAACTAAGAAAACAGTTGACAACAGCATAATTTTTACACTGAGGGAATATAGTTTTATTTTGCGTTGTTACAATATTGAGAATATTATAGTCATGCATAGGCTACAGAGTCATCAGGAGGTAATTGAATCTCAGGGATTAAAAATAGATGTACCAATCTATTTTCCTTAGCATATAAATATTACAAGCATTCTGCATTTTAGATCAACTAGAATTGTCAGGTGATAATGACCACACTAGTGTTTCAATGATTAAATGACATGCCCTTGGTCTATGGCATGAAAGGATTGTTCCACATTTATTTTCTAAATTAAAGTTAATACCTGAATATCAAAAGAATAACCAAACAAGGAAACAGGAAAGAATAGTAATATAATTCAGAAACAGGACTTATCTTCTGAAGGTGCAGTCATGTTTTTATAATTTTATTTTTCTATAGATAGAATTGCTGTGGATGTTGGTATTAACTTTTTGAATAATTGAAGAGGTAATAGATAAGAAATGGCTGTATTCTGCAACATTAAAATGATATTTTCCTCCACTTTTTTCTTATCTAGCTATTCCACTTTAGAAGTTATTTGAAGTACAGAGGAAGATGAACCAACATTAGTAAGTGACCACAATGAAGGTTAAGATAGGCAACTTGAAAAAAGAGTGTTTTGTCAGTAAGTTAGGAATTTGATTTTATCTAAGGTAGAACATTTTTACAAGAGGAAAGACAGAAAAGATTATCTTTTAGCATCAACCTCTCTAACAGTAAGAATGAGGAAATACAGAACAAAACCAGTCACAGGGATGATACAAGAACCATCTCCAAAACTCCTATGTAGAAATCCAAACATCTGAGTTTTTGTTCCAAGTCCGTTCAAGTTGAGTTGTGTGACCTTGGATAAATCCTTTTCTGTTGTGATTCTTGGGGTCCATATGTGTCAAATAACTTGGTTGGAAATAAGGAACTTAAATTCCTTGAATCTCTGGCATTCGATAGCCTGGCTTTTCAGTCTGGAAACACAAGTGATGATGCAGTTTTTGATATGTGTTTGTTTTCTTTCCTTTTGTTTTGTGGGAATTCATTATTTCACTGTAGATCCTTTGAGAAGCACTATTTTAGGAGATGGTACCAATGGACGAAAGTCATTTTGAGTTTATGTAAATTTGTAATTTTTGTAATTTGGTCTTTGATGTACCCATTAACCTCTCTTACTGGATTTAAGGGTAAGATAATCTTTGAACACCCCCACCGCCTTTTATCAACGTGTATTTCATCGTCAAAGATAACAAACTTGGTACAATTGTCTTTTGTGATGGATTATTAGACATTCCCCTTACCTAGAAAAGGGGGAAATGATGGAGTAGAAATATGTCGTGCTAGACTATTAGGCAAAGACGATGAGTCTTCTAAATTCCCTTGTGGAGAGAGAGCAACACACTTTCATATCCACTTAACAGATGCTCAATTGCTCTCCTTTGCACTCTGATTTTGATGAGAGCTGTATAACATCTCAATTTAGACTTCCAATGCGTCAGTTATTTAACTTTCAAGGCAGAAGTATGATGCCCATCACAGATGTGTTTTGAGGATCAGCTCTTAGAGTGCAAGGCTCTAAAATATTTTGCATGAAGATACTATTTTTAAGATTTTACTGCTTATTGTTTACTCAGCAGGTCGGCACTTTTCTTTCCATCTTTCTGATAAGAGGAGAAGAGATAAATAAGAGGGAACTGAAAGGGACAATAGTGCAGATGAAGGTGAGAAGGCTCAGAGAAAGCAACTAATGTGCCTGAAGTCACACACAGTTAGTAAAAGGACTGACACTGAGGATGAGGTGCCCTCATCCCAGTTGCTGCCCTGTTAACCTTTGGGTAGCTCAAATCAGTTTGAAGCCTCTACTTGGAATCCTGTGTCTAGTACTCACATTGTTCTTTCCTTAGAAATACGTAGATCGACATTGACAATTGAAAACATAATTTCATCTATTAGCAAAATTGGAGAGGTTTGTTTTGATCCAGGGTCTGAGGTGCACCATAGAGCTGACATTACTGCCACACGCTGTAAACAAACAGCATTGTTATTGAAAATGTGCTTTAAAAATAATTATTTCCATTTATAAAGCGCTCACTTTATGCCAGCATTATTTTAATTGCTTTACTTATTTTAACTTATTGAATCCTCATGTCAACCTTGTGTAAGGTAGTTACTCTTATTGTCATCATCTCTGCTTTGTGAATGAAAAACCTGCTGCCCACTGAGGATAAATCACTTGCCTTAAGGTCACACGGCTAGTAAGTGCTTACACAGAAAAATTAGAACTGGGTGGTCTGGCTCTGCTGTCTGCACTCCTCCCCACTACATGCTATAGTCCATCAAAATAATAATTGTCTCATCTCTTTTTTTGTTCTAGAGAACTTTAAAATACAAAAAAAAAAAAAAAAAGTACAAAGAGGAAAATAAAGTTTATCTGTGTTCCTACCACGTAGAGATAATCACTGTTGACAATACAGAGTTGTGTTGTTAGTTGCAGATCAAATTACACAAAAAATATCCATGCATTTTAGCAGCCATGTAATTCAGTGAAGTTTCTTTCATTGGATGTCATCAGATGTTACAACATGTCCAGGGTGGAGATTTCTCAGAATATTTTGGGCCTTGTAAAATAAAAGGCCACTGTTTGAAAGCTTACTCCCTATTTTTTTTTTTTTTTTTTTTTTAAGAAAGAAGGGTTTTATTGAAAATGAAAGTACACGCCACAGTGGTGTGGGAGCAGGCCTGAGCATAGAGGCTCAAAGGCCCTGTTACCGAATTTTTGGGAGTTTTCCCCCAGAGGATTCCATCGGTTACTTGGGGTACACCCTGTGTAAATGGAGAGGATGTTCACACATCCCTCTCCAAAGGGCCAGTGTGTTGCTGGCCCTTTGGACATGCTGACAAAATATCGATTAATATGGGCTTTCTTAAATGAAGTGATCACCTGTGTACTGACTGAAGTTTCCTGTGTATCTGGCCCACTTCCAACCATTGTGGAGGATAGAGGGAGGAGAGTTGCTGCCTCGAGAACTTATGACATTTCCAGACGAATGTGTCTTATGTTTATAATCATACAGTTATTTAGAATTCTGGATAAAAGTAGCTTTCTGTATGTAAGCAATAATTCTGTGGTTACCAATAACATGAAGATAGAGTACATCCAAAGGCAAACATTTAAAAAAAGGACAGCCTTCTAGATACACACAAAACAAGCAGCTTAAACACCTTGGGCTCACTCTTCTGACTTTAGTTCAATAAAGAAACTGTTCATAGGAATTTGCTACTTAAGACATTTCCTTGGGTTGTCCATGATTAATTCCTTCAAAGGAGGCCAGTTACGTATGCAGGGAATGGATGTCTTTTGGGATTTGACTTGAGTGTCTGAGTGCTAAGCAGGGGCTTCATTATATATTTAGCAGCATGATTTCACTAGGGAAATAGCTGTAGGGCACACAAATGAGGGGAATTCGTATATTCCTTAATTTCCTTTTCTTTAACTTAAAAACAATTTAATGCAACCATGCATAATCTCATAAGCAGGTGAAAAGAGAGAAGTGGTGACTTTAAGTGCCAAAATCCTTTGGTGTCCTGGAAAACACACGTGGCCTAAACATTACACATCAATTTTATTTGCTGTTCTTGTAATATTTCAGGTTAACTCATTGCCTTTCACTGGTTTATTATACAACCTGTTTTCAAGGAGACATTATTTAATTGTAAGGAATAAATTGCTTGTGTGTGTGTGTGTGTGAGTGTGTGTGTAGAGTCCTAATATAATTATTTTCACTTTAGATTCTAGTGAATTTCTAAATAATCTTGGGAATGCAATCTTTTGTTTATGAATTATTTGCAAGCAGACAAAATTTCTGACATTTATTCTATAATTAAATCGTGATTCTTATAGCCAAGTAATGATGCAATCATTGTGAATTACATAAAAAAAGAAAATGCATATAAAATACAAATTTAATAAAAGCTTTCTAAATGGCCATTCTGGCAAGATAAAATGCAAAAAATGTAATTTATTAATTGTTTTTAGCGAGGAGAGACCAAAACTTGTGTGGAAAGCTGGGAGGAGACAGGCTTCTGTGAGCTGTGGATTCACCCTCATGGAATTTAGATTCCAGTTAGGCAATGAAAAGTAAGCAAAGAGTGAGAATTAAACCCATAAAATGTGATTCACATAAAATGGCAGAATTTTATATGTATAAATTATAGTTTGTTGCTATACAACTTTTATTTTTGTTATTGCCTTAAGGTATGGAAGCATCTCAAAGAATTTTATAATATGAAACTAGCCTTTCCATTTTGGGGACTGGGAAAACTCATGCACTAATAAATTGAATACTTGCCCTACCTTCATAAAAAGAAAAAAATTTCTTGAGATTTAGGCCTCAAGTTCTCGTTCACTCTTCCTATCTAATACCACTCCAAATAACGTGCTTTATTTGTCACAGAATCACAAGGTTGCCATCCATCCTTCTTGACATCCTTGGTGTCACTTGACATTTCTTGGTAGAGGGAAGCACTAATGCATGACTCCAAATTGGGGCAATAGGAGCATTTTCATACTTGAAAACAAAGAAACATATGACCTAGAGATGCCTTCAATACTTTTCCTCTGGAGAGATATAACAATAGATTAGGTAGTCATTTAGTTCAGACACAGAGAGAATTCCTGGAAGACGAGGAAAAGGAACTTGCTGGAAGACATTCAAACTACCTTTCTACCTCGAATGTCTATGATTCTTGAAGTCTCCCCTATTTTTATAAGTCTGTGGGTCTAAGAGAAAATACAGTGCATGGATGAGTGTAGAATCTTTTTTCCTTGTTAATAATTCAGAAAACAATACAATTTCTGACAACATGCTTTGTCAATGGACATGACACATAATTCTTGGACAAAGATAACATCTGAATTCTGGATATGGTACAATTAGAATTAGAAATTCAGCTGACACTGTTTAGTATTTCTGCCTGAAGAGAAATGATCACCAGTAAAGTTCTGCATAAGGGAAGGGGGAGAAAAATAAAAGCTGGATGTCCTAGCTACCTTTGTAAAGCCTTACCATCCACTAACTTTGGCGCAGACGCGGTGTCCTTGACCTATTCTGCACTTTTGCCTGACTGTGACTTATGCCATCTTCATTCCTCACCCTCATAATATTTCTTCTAATGAAAATATTACTATCTTCTTATCAAAATCTTATCTGTCATCAAGACTCTTCTCAAATGTCATCCTCTCTATGGAGTCTCTTATGGTAAGACTGTTGTCTGTCCTTGATTCGAATCTTCAAAGCACTGAGTGCTTTCTTCACAGCCCTTAATCTCTCTGACTTGTAATAAGGTTATTTGTGTTCAATCTTATATTTTCTTCTAAACTCGGAACTATGTATGCAGAAATTGCCTTCTACTTCTGTCTGTGCTTTCGGAATTGCGGAGCAAAATAGCTGTCTTCTGACAGGTGCTCAAAATTATTTTTTGTATTAAATTGAATGACATTCTAATGAGATCTAGACCCATTTCAATGTAAATGATAGTACACTTAATAGGCTAATAAGTATAAGTAACTACATCCTAACTACTATAAAATACTATAAAATATAGTGTTGTAGGCTTTAGACTCAGGCAAAATAAGAATTTTTTCTCTATCACTTAAATTACTTGAATAAATTATTCAACCTCTCTTGTTTTTGATTATCTCATCTCTTAAATTGGGATAATATTTGTGTCTTTCTTAAAAGGTGATCGTTAGATAATCCTATTTACAATACCATCTTAAATAAGATAATACATGTAAGCAGCTCAGGATCATGCCACAAAACTAGTATTTTTTTATTATATCAGGTATAGGGATATATATATATATATATATATATATATATAGCAACTACTGTCTTAGCAACTACTATCTTCAGGAACCTTTCAGTCTACTTGAGACGTCAGAGAAAAAAACAGATAATTAGAATTCATTGTGATAGAGGTGTGCTTAAGTGGTTTCTCTATAACAAGCATTTTCCTTTTAGTCACCAGTTTCGTGTATTCTTGCCAATATCAACTGATCATTAGTATCAGAAAACGTCTGCTTTTATGCCCGCCAGTTTAATAGCAGCTTAAACTTTCAAGCTGGGGAGCTATGTAGAGGTTCTGAATTTATATTAGCATCAAATGAGTGTGACATATAATCCCATGGTCAGAGAAAGCCATTTCTCCCAGCAATTTAATATACTTTATGGGCATGAAAAATCATAAAAGTGTTTCAGTCAGCAGTTCAAGAGTCAGACTTCTGTTACATATACATATATATGTATATGTATATATAATATGTATATATAACATATATATATATATATAACTGAAGGAAAGTGATAGAAATACATTCATTAAGAATTTTAAAGCTTAGGCATAATTTGATCCATATCTAGTTTTACAGATGATGAAGCTGTAGCCCTTACAAGGAAAGTGGCTTACCCAGAGTCCTACAGCTTTTAGGTGGGAAAGCTGAGGCTCTGAGGATCCATTATATAGCTTTATAAAATGTCTTACTATAACACTTACATGTTTAGACCATTCACCTTAAGAATATAAGTAGCCTTGTCACACTTAGTACACAAAAAGAAATTGCTTCAGACACCCCTAGTAGATAATCCTCTATTCTATGATTTGCCATGTATAGTAATGGGAACTCATTACTATTCTAGATTTGTTTCACTATTAGACAGCTTTCAATGTTAAAAAGTTATCTTTCACTTATTTAACGCCTTCCCACCTCTGGCTACTTATGAGCAATACAAATCAAATGTGATGCTTCTGTTCAAACTAACACTGTGAGCCAAGAAAGGAAGGGAAATTTTCAAGTGTCGAAGATGAATGCATAGCTCCATAGTGAGTAGGAGTAGTCATCTTATTTCAGATACAACAGAAGAACAAAGCCATCATGGCTCCTAGCATGTTGAAGTCCACGAAGAGGTCAGGATCATTACTGGCTTTCTAAGTAGGCTTCCTTCATAAACTAGGAATCTGCAAGATCATCACCACCATCACCATCATCATCCTAGAAGAACTTAGCCAAATGGCTAAGGATATAGTTACCGGCCCCGTCTTTGGGTATAAAAATAATTATTTGGGGCGAGGAGCATGTTCAAAACCTTCCGTTTTTGCTGAATGAAGATGTAGAGTATAAATTTCACTCACTATTCAATGTTGATAACAAAGAAACATAAACATTGAAAACTTAAAATTGCTATGCAACCAGTGAGCCCCATAGTCATGAGTAAATATCACTAGAAAACTATGTTTCAGGGTGGAAGAGAATGACTACTAAAAATATTATTAAAGGCACAAATTCCACCACGTACACAGTTGTGAGAAACAGCCAGTGGATATAACACATAGGTAAACTT